AGAATGGTTTTATTGTCTCTCATCAATAATTCAAAAATACTTGCTAATTGAATGATTCACAATAGGTACTGGTAGGATGACTTTTCAGGTTTTAAAAGGCTGTGTTCTATTTTCACAGTGGTGGTGTTGATGAATATCATTCAAGTTTGCTGGATGAGAAAACTTTTCAGGTTATCTAGAAAATAAACCAAAGTCCCTGTTACCAATTAGGATCAACTGCAAATTGGCAATGGCGATTTCCCAGAGAGATTCATAGATTTCTGAATATTTGAAATGTCTTCTATTTTTAAGGCCTTATTTTTTTTAAGCTTCATGATTAGAAGTTTAAAATACAAGCTGAATGGATTCATGTTTATTGAATCAGTCTGCTCAAGCTGCTCTAACAAAACACCATACATGGACTAGGTGGCTTAAACAACAATTTGTTCTCAGAGTGCTAGGAGGGACTAAGAAGTTAAAGATCAAAGTGCCAGTTACTTAGTTCCTGGTAAAGGCCTATTTCCTGACTTGTTAGATGTCTCTCTCTCACTGTCCTCACATGGCCTTTTCTTATCAAATGATGTGGAAAAGAGAGATCTGTCTGTCTTCCAGTTCTATAATTGCACTAATTCCATCATGAGGATCCCACCTCCAAGACCATTTTTAAAATCTAAGGTCCTATATCTCCATATAAAGTCACCTTGGTATACTTATAAATTTGGGGGGACATGGACATTCAGCCTATATCAGCCTCTTAATCTGCCCCCATTTTGTAAACATGTGAAGGATCTTGTTCAGAATATAAATATTTTACCATTCCTTATACTTGCTTTATCTGTACTTGACATGACGAGTTAAATTTTATGATTAAATTCAGCAAAAGATAAACTACTTTGGAACATATTTTAGTCTCATTAAAATACAGAAATGTTTTTGGTTTGTTTCTTTTGTCCTTGGTCCTGTGATTATATGGGTGACTATAATTACTCTTTATTTTATTACTATTTAAATATGATTTCCCCATGTTTTGATTCCTTTTCATTAAAATCTAAATGTGAAAATATCAAGTCTAAAAATTAATGTCCTGAATTTAAACTCAAGAGTTTTTGTTTGTATTTTTGGATTTGAAATTAATATAAAAGTTACCAAGTGTGACTTTCATATAAAAAGTACTGAACATTATGTTACGGGACATTACTTTGCAATTGTTGATACTTTGAGAACTAACTTAACATCTGGACTTCTGTAACCAAAGAAACCTGAATAACTCTGTGATGGCCAAATTGAAGAAAGTAGAGAGGAAAGACTGTTTGAGAGAATGTCATTTGTCAAGGTATAAACTGACTTCCTAATGTAAGGTATCTTGCAGCTTCAGATGAACATTTGGGCCTCAGTTCTTCATCACCACTTGAACTGTTTAAGGAATTATGCCTCTTACGAGAACTTTGTGTCCTTCTCTGACCTACTTGGTAAAGTCTCAACAGTTGATTGATGAGGGATAAATAAAGGCCACCAAAGGGCCCCTGATTAGAATTCATGTAGTCAGATATTTTGTGCAATTCTGAAAAATATTTTTAGTCACTTTTGGAAAGGTTTTCTTGTCTCTTGCAGGGCCAAAGCTCATATAACTGGAGATTTCTTTTTCTTTTTTAAATTAAATTTATTTTTAACTGACCCTTAACAACACAAATGTTTACATATCAATGAGTACTTTGGGTCACTTGATACCTGTGTACATTGCCTAGTTCAAGCATATATATCTCATTTATCATTTCGTTTATTTTTTCCTTTTTCTTTTCTTTCTTTCTTTTTTTTTTTTTTTTTGTACTAGGGATTCAACTCAGGCACACCCAATCACTGAGCCACATTCCCGTACCTATTTTGTATTTTATTTAGAGACAGGGTCTCACAGAGTTGCTTAGCACCTTGCCATTGCTGAGACTGGCTTTGAACTCATGATCCTTCTGTTTCAACCTCCGGAACCCCTGGATTACAGGTGTGTATCACTGTGCCCGGTTCATTTATCATTTCTTTATGGTGAAAACTTTCGTTATATTTCTACTTTTTTAAAATGTACAATTCATTGACTTTTATATTTTAAATGGGAGTTATTCATGCACAAAAGTTTAAAAAAATGAACCAGTTTACAAAGTTTGATTTTTTTTTTTTAAACTTTGACTCAAACCAGTCATGAAAAACAAAAAGCCCTTCAGACTTGTGTGCCTTCCCTTCTGGTTTATCCTTCCAGGAGCTGCTTTCTACCTGTTTGGGGATTGTCTTTATATTCCTGTTTCTCAACTTTTGGATGTGAGGATTATCTGTTCTTGCTGTGGAAGGTTGTGAAGTTGACTCCCTTCCTGCCCTTAGAGCTTTATCTGCCCAGCCATCTCATTTCCTGCCTCTCCAGTGTAGTTGTGTGGCAGATTTGGGTTGTTTAGTATTCACTGTTTACATAGTGTGACTATAATCACAGTGGGAGATGTGTAGTAAACTATGATTGTTTTTTCTGTGCAATTTTTTTGTTTTTTCTTGTGCAACTTTTTTTTTAAACTTTATTTACCACTGATTCATCCTTGAATGCATCAATTGTCTAAATTGTCTAAATTACCCTCTAGGACCTGCTCAGGTGTGTTGGTGTTCCACACCAGTGTTATTCAGCTGAGGGTCTGTCCTGGGCCCCTGTTAGATTCATTGTCTCTCATGTCTGGCACATAGTTGTCATCTGGGATCTTCAATCACCATCATCCCTATTCTCCCTTTGCTTGTCTTCCTGTTTCTAGCTCTTATTTGCTGCATTCTGTTTCTTACTCTCTTGATTTATCCCATTGGTGTGCTAGAACATAACCTTGAGAAAGGGAAAAACAAGAGATCCGTTTTGTGAGAAATCACTTGTATAAAATATCTCTATTTCATTGATGTTATGTGCTCCTTAACTCTTCCTAGCTTAGGTTATGATTATAATGTAGGTATAGGTGTGCACCTGCACATTTTCCTTTCAGTGGGTTTAGGGAAGGAGCCAAATTAGATGTGTTTAATCTGCCCAGTTCACCCAGAAATGCCATATAACTGTATAAATTTGAAACACAACAAACATTTCTTTTGGTTCCGAGCTCAAGAAATAAAATAAACTAGGAAATAGTTCAAAGGGGAATTACTTCTCATTTTGAGGTAACAAAGTGGAATTGGAGCTGATGAACTGGGAAGGTAGAGGCACTGATGATGGAAGCCAAGTCACCTTAGAGTGTGGAAGAACTCGTCTTTCATAGCTGTGCAGCAGAAGCTGGATTTTGCTTTTCTTCATGTCTTCTCAGGGTGGGGAACTTTTCCTTTTACCATAAAGAAAATCAAGATTTGGAAACTAGGTAGAAGTGGTGGCTGTACAATACTGTGAATAGACCAAATGCCCCTGAATTGTTTATTTTAAAATGGTTGAGTTTATGTTATGTGAATTTTACCTCAATTTAAAAAAAAAAAACTACCAAAATGCAAGAAAATTTTCAAAGCTAGAAACTATTTGACAACTCACTTCTGAGAATAAGATAAATGGACTTAATTATACAGACCTCATTAACTTGTGTTTCTGTTGTCTGCTGAAGGGCTTTGTAGACATTAAAAATGTTTACATGCATTATTCTGGAATATTTTCAGAATGTTAATTCATTTGAGAAAATAGAAGGCAAGATATTACAAGGATTGTCAAGTAAAATTGGTATTTCTCTATCAGAGAAAGTAAAAGGAGTTAACAAAACTTTAGTGGATATGCCTTTTAACTTCAGAAGTGTTCATTGAACTAGAGGACACAACTTGTGAGGCAAGACCTCTTGACTCTTTGACCATTTGTCTATCAGAAGAAAGTGGAAATTTTGGTGTAATATGATGCAGTTCCTATAAATTTATACCACTGTACATTGCTGATCTTTCATATGAAACAACTGTGTCCTAAAAAGGTTTAATAATATTATCTAAAATGTGTCATTGAGCATTTTGGCATTTTGGGCACACTAGATCATGTGACCTGAAGCCATAATCTCAAGGTTCAAATCCTGGCCTTGCCAATTATTAATTAACTCCTCAGGTTTTATTTTTCTCATCTGTAAAACAGACAGAATGATAGGCCTGTTAGGATGAATGTGAATTAATGCATTTAAAGATCTTAAAATGTTACCTGGCACAGAGAAAGTACCCAATAAATGTTCCTTTTTAAACATTAGCAGATTGAATTTGCTATGGTTGGTTGAGTGATTGACTGATGGTGGTAAGGTCTAAACCCAGGGCCTGATGCATATTAGGCAAGCACTCTGCTACTGAACCAGCCTTCAATAAATGTCTGCTACTGGCCCACAATGAATGTTATTACCTATTTTTGATGATGTTCCCTTAAACTGCAAACCCTAAAAGCATATCGGGACTGATGTCTGTAACATTAGCAATGCTTCCTTACTGCTTACTGCTTCCTTACTGCTTACCACTTCCTTACTGGGATGTCTTCTCATGGTCCTTATAACCAACTCCCATTACAGAACACAGTTGGCTTCTTTGTTCTCATTGTGTTTGTCCTGGTGATTAAACACTTGTTTGTTTTTCTCTGAAAACTGAAGGTTTTTAACTCTCTTTAATTACTAAAGATTTTTAGACTCCATAATGCAGTGGTTTTGTAAATCAAGTGATTGTAAAACCAAGAAACTATAAATAGTGTTTATTTTCAGCTCCCTGTATTAGGTTTAAACATAATCCCTATTACTTGTACACTTTCCCTGGGAATCTGTGAAAAGATTGAGAATGATCCTGAGCTATAAACCTGCCACTGAAAGATGTAATGAGTCAGTAGCCATGAAGGGTATTTAAAATTTTAAAGCTATCTTTCTGTACCAGTATTATATGGCTGTAAGTAATAAATGCTAGTTCTCTCTCCAGTTATTTTGTTAGCTCTAATGTGAAACTCATCTTCCTGCATGATGAAGTCCTAAGCTTCCATGTTATGATTTTCATGACTAAGCTGTCTTTAACATTTTGCTTTACAGATCAACAGTCAAGATTTTAAAAGTCATAAGCCTTCTGATGGTGGTGGTGAGCCATGGCTGCAGATGATAAAGTTGCTATCTTAACTGATGATGAGGAGGAGCAGAAGAGAAAATATGTGCTTGCTGATCCCTTCAATGGAATTTCCAGGGAACCAGAACCACCTTCAAATGAAACGCCCTCCTCCACAGAAACATCTGCTATTCCTGAGGAGGAAATAGACTGGATAGAAAAACATTGTGTTAAAATAAACAACGATCTTCTCATTTCCAAGGTTTTTTATTTTTTCTTTTACTCTGCCTATGGTTCTCTTTACCCACTTTTGCCTGTGTATTATAAACAGCTGGGAATGTCGCCAAGCCAGAGTGGACTGTTGGTTGGTATTAGATACTTCATTGAATTCTGTAGTGCCCCCTTTTGGGGTGTGGTTGCAGACCGCTTCAAAAAAGGCAAAATTGTCCTTCTCTTTTCTCTTTTGTGTTGGGTTTTATTCAACCTGGGCATTGGGTTTGTCAAACCTGCTACCTTGAGATGTGTACCAAAGATTCCCCCAACAGCTCACCCCACCAATGCAAGTCACCTGTTAACCGTCTTGCCAACAAATTCTTCTGCTATCTCTTTCCTTACTATATCACCAAAAACGCGTGAGAAAAGGGACTTGTTTCCTCCCAGTGGGCCCCCAGTGTTAGAAACGGGGCCCAACATCTTAGATGCTGATATCCTTACGACAGCTTCAACCAAGGTCCATGAACCCACTCTGCAGCCCCAGATAGATGAAATCACTGACCTTGTGATGGACTTGAGCCTGAATACAAGCACAGCAACCCTTACCCCCACGGGGAATGTAACCAGGGAGACAACCACTGCTATTGTCACTACCACCAAACCTTTACCTTCTGACCAAGTCACTCTTGTTTATGATCAGCAAGAGGTTGAAGCTATATTCTTGGTGATCTTGGTAGTTGTCATAATCGGAGAATTTTTCAGTGCCTCTTCTGTCACGATTGTAGACACAGTAACCCTCCAGTATCTGGGAAAGCACCGAGACCGCTATGGACTGCAGCGCATGTGGGGCTCCCTGGGCTGGGGCCTGGCGATGCTGTCCGTGGGCATCGGGATTGACTACACCCACATGGAAGTTCTCGTGGATGGCAAGGGGTGTAAGCCCCCTGAGTACCGGAACTACCAGATCGTCTTCATCGTCTTCGGAGTTCTCATGACGATGGCCTTGATTGTGGCCACCCAGTTCCGTTTCCGCTACAACCACTTCACAAACAGTGACAGCAAGGGGAAAGAGGTGGAGATCCCTCAGGTGGAAAGGAACAACTCCACCGAGTCCTCCGAGGAGACACCCACCACCACGAGCCACTCGCAGACCTTCAACTTTTGGGACTTAATCAAACTGCTCTGCAGCGTGCAGTATGGCTCAGTGTTGTTTGTGGCTTGGTTCATGGGTTTTGGATATGGCTTCGTGTTCACCTTTCTCTACTGGCATTTGGAAGACCTGAATGGAACTACGACCCTCTTTGGGGTCTGTTCAGTCCTAAGTCACGTGTCTGAGCTGACAGCTTATTTTTTTAGTCACAAGCTTATTGAATTGATTGGCCATATCAGGTAAGAAAATGCTTACTGTTGATGTCCTCAGCAGTGGAGCTTTGTCATTTTATAGTCTAGAGCTCCTTTTAACATATTTAAGGTATTCTGATTTGGTGTGGGGGTAGGGTTGGGTTGGCAAGGAAGCTATCTTTTGCTCTTTCTCTTTAAAATGGAAACCAAAGGAAGCCAGGAAGGAATAACCTAGATGGATTATTATAGACAAGCAGGCAAACAAAAAATGGCTGCCCACCACTCTGGAAAGATCAGTAGGCTGTTTATCTGTGTGCTAAGAGATGCTCAAAATAAGTGTTTTCAGGCGTGGGAGCTTAGTGAGCTATATTGTTCCATGGACTTTGAGGAGTCCACCTGAATCAAACATTTATATAGGAAAGTTTCTGTAGATTATTTTTCCAGCCTCCATTTATTCTGAACCAGTTAATGACAATAGGTAAAGCTTGAATATGTGGTGTGTAAAGATGACCACAAGGCTGGGGCTGTAGCCCAGGAGCAGAGCACTTGCCTAGCACTTATGAGGCCCTGGGTTCAATAAAAATAAATAAATAAATAAAAGTATTGTGTCCAACTACAATTAAAAAATAAATATTTTTTAAAAATAGACAAAATAAAGGCATTCAGTCCTACTACAATGACAAAACAAAACAAAACAAAACAAACAAACAAAAAACAGGGGCCAGGAATGTAGCTCAGTGATAGAGCAATTACCTAGCATGCTGAGGTTTAGTGCTGTTAAAAAAAAAAAAAAAACAACATTATATTTAATAAAGTATGACATGACCCACCATAATCCCTAATCCATGATGTTCCACAGAGTAAATCTTTATGTAACTTTTTTCCTAATTGTTACATGAATCTTTGTATCTTTGCCATGAAGACATGGACTATTTAAAAATCTTTCATGATTTCCTTTTATTCAAACAAACAAAAGCTATGAATTCTTCTAGTTTCTTTGTTTTGTAGCGTTTGTCACCATTGATGTTTACCTAAAGCTGATCAAATCACACCCTGCTATCTATAGGTTCTTCTGCTCTATTATTGACTCCAAAATATGGAACCAGCTGCATTGAACCACTGCCTTGTAGAAAAGTATGACTTGTCTCTCCCTAAACTTTCAAGTTACCATAATCAAAAGAAAGCAACTGTGTTTGTGTGTCCATGATGGTCTTGAAACCTGCTCTTTCTGTAAGAAATTAAAAAGAAGCAGTGACAAGATTTAAAAAATATTAATCTTTACTCCTTTCATTTCCTTTCTAACTGAAGAAAATATTTTCTAATTTAAAGTTCCAACCTAGAATCATTCTTTCCCCCAAACAATTGTGAATATTTTCCCTTGTGTGGTTTGGTTTTGCTTTGGGAAGTGTATCCTGTCCCTTCTTTCTCAAATCCTTTGACGCCTTTCTTGTCACTAAACAAAGGCACAGTGTGGATGATCCTCTGACCTATAGAGTCCCTGAGGCACAACCAGTGGGACCTTTTTGTAAAAGAGCCTTATAACATTAAGGACTTGGAATGTCCTTTAGCCTTTTCCAGGACATGTTTACATTCTCTGAGCTGTGTGGATTGACCATGATGATTAGATACTTCTCTGCAGCCTATGGATCTTACCTCTAATAGGATTTTAAAAATCTGCCAGGCATGGTGGTACACACCTGTAATCCCAGCAACACAGGAGGTTAAGGTAGGAGGATTGCAAATTCCAGGCCAGTCTGGGTAATTTAGCAAGACAGTACTTTAAGGAAAAAAAAAGATGCTGGGGTTATAGCTCTATGCTATAGCTCAGTGATAGAGCATTCTAGTATCCCTCCTCAAACAATCAGGGGTTTGTTCCTTAAAAAGTGCCCATTTAGGTGTTACCAAGAAGGGGAGTTCCTAGATAGCATATTATTTAATCAGTCAATAGCATCAATTGAGCACAGACTCAGTACAGAATATACAGATAGGTTCTACTTTCAGAGATATTAAGTTTTTCTCATGCCTACAAAAGACAGTTCTTTTCCTCCTTTGCGTTTTTTTTTGTTTGTTTGTTTGTTTTTGGTAATGGGGATTGAACCTACGGGTGCTTAACCACTGAGCCACATCCCCAGTTCAGCAGCCTTTGCCTTTTGTCTGAGGTGTATTTTCATGATAAAACCCTAGTAGCTTCACTACTATTTATGTTAGTGAGTTTACACTTCTGTCTTCCTTTCCTGAGTAGTATTAGTCACTCTTACTTAAAAACCTATAGTGCACATAACCTTAATTATTTGGTATTATGTTCACACATACACACACACACACACACACACACACACACACACGCACGCGCGCAAAAGCATCTCTCTTTTTTTCTTACTCAATGATGTGATGACAGGAGGTGGCCCCTGTGGTCACCTTGTTGCTTCCAAGAGCCTGCCAGGATTTCATCAATATGTGGTCATTTGCCTCTTTCAAATATTCTGTTCACTAAAGTAATATTAATTATTTTAAATATATTTAAAAGATTCTGGTTGCTAAAGTAAGATTATTCCTGCATTTGTACTCAGGCAAAACAGATATGCTTCTCTTGATAACAATTTTGGGAGCCCAGTCAGGTGGTGATTGTTGAGATTTGGTGGCTTAAATATGTAGTGGTGACAGTTTAAACTCAAAATTTTTTTGTGTGAGTTGTTTATGGACAGAATAGTCAGAAATCTATTTTCACAGAAATTTTTAATATAGATTTAGAATGAAGAAAAGTCCACATCATAAAACAGTTTTTAACACAACATGTACACTTTTGAACCATTTAGTATTTCAGGCCCAGTTTTTCAGAGAATAACTTTTCAGTCTAAACACACACGTACACACACAGAGTCAATGGTTTCTGATTTTGACTTTGGCTTTTGTCCCTCTCTAAACAATGACTTTTTCTAGCAAATAGGATAGTATATATTTACCCTAAAAAACTAAATTTCTTGTATTTGAAATCACAGTATTTGGGGATTTACAGCAAGTTTATTTTTAGGTCCATATATGTCAGGATGGTTAACTAGAGATATAAATGTGTCTTAAGGGTGTATTCACCTTGTAGAACATTTCAATAACTGTGAGTAGGGTCATGACCAAAACAAATTGCAATAGACAATCTGTAAACTTATAAATTGTTATTATCTAAGATTAGGCCATGACTTATGTTATTTGATTTAAAATTATTTCCATTTTAAGGGACACACATAAATCTAACACACATAAATCTACTCAATCTAACACTGAAGTTCTTACATTTAAGGTCAGTTTTGCCTACAGCTGTTATCCAGAGAGAGTAATATATTTATTATCCATTGTTAGCCATAAGTTACTACTTAATAGTACCTATGTATCCAAACTAGCCAGTCATTTTGGGAAAGAGGGAAATACATGATGCAAATAGCAAGAAGAGGAGGAGCACCAGGCTCTGCTGAGAGGACGTTGCAGGCAGACCCAGAGCAGAGTCAGCTGCTGGGCTACAGCTCAGCTGAGCATACACTTTGGAGAAATAGCAAAAAGCATTAGAAGAAGGAGGAAACCCCACAGCTGGAGTGATCAGTTTGAGCTGGGTGACCCTGAAAGACCCAGAGAAGATCATGTCTGAGTTTTTTGGTGGTGGTGGTGGTGGTGGTGTTTGGAGCTTCCCAGGATTTGGTCTCCTGGGCTCAGCTAATGTAGTTTCGTCAGCAGTGCTTTGGAGGCTCCTGATGCCCAGGCTGTACCCAGACCAATTACGTCACACTCTCCAGGCAGCTGCACTTTTTAAAGCTCCCTAGTTGATTCCTGTGCCCAACCTAGGTTGAGAAACACCAACTAATAAGCGGCGTAGGCGAAAAGAGGAGTAGAGGGAGGGAGATGGGAAAACCGAGGGCATTTTTCTCTTTCTAGCTCATGCAGCATATTTGTATGAGTTTCAGAGACAGCTCCCTCTCATCCTTCCAGGTGGTTCTTTCCTTGATCTCTGGTACAGTTTCCTCACATCCATGTGTTGATTAGTACTCACCTGGAGGCTCCAAGGGAACCCCCTGCAGATTTCTGCAGCTCTCTCTTCGGATCTCTCCACTATAGTACTCTTTCCAGCTTCCCAGACTCTCTACCCTGACTCTTCAACTCAGGAGACCTCTCAGCCTCATTAGGCAGAGCCTCTGTGAGTTGCCACATCTTGCTTGTGGATCCACCATTGTGGATCATCATCTCCTCCCAGTGTCCTGCTAACTTGTGTCATAGAGGGGCTGTTGAGTAGTACCCTGGCTTCTCCACTTTTTTGTCACTTCTTTAACAAGTCCCTGAATTGAGACAGATTGGTGACTATTTCCCTGATTAGATGCTGACTTGGGCACCAACACTTACTTGTTTAGGAAGACTTCTGATGGCAGTTGTCACAGTGACACCATAGCATAGAAATAGAATAACTCAATTATTTATTGGGGAACAAAACGAGCTAGGGGTGGTGTTGCATGCTTGAAATCTCAGCTACTTGGAAGGCTGAGGCAGAGGGATTGCAAATTCCAGGCAAGCCTGGGTAATTTATTGATACCCTGTCTCAAAATAAACTAAAAAAGGGCTGGAGATATAGCTCAGTGGTAGAGTGCTTGCCTAGCATGTGGGAGATCTTGGGTTCAAAACTTAGCACTGCAAGGAAAATAAAACAATGGTGGACCTTAAACAACTTTTTCCCTTCTGATTTCTTAAGGGAGAATTAGTTCTTTAAAAATATTTTCATCCCATTAGAAAAATGTTTTGAAAGAGTTAATTTTCATAGTAAATTTTAAATTACATGTGCTCTAGAGACACAAATATTATTCCACATTATTTAAAATCAAAACCCTCCATATTTGTTCAATTTTGTTGAACAGTTACTTAGACCTAGAGAATCCCAGATTAATAGGATGCAGAGAATAGGCACTAAAGAAAAGGACAATGGAAAATACAGGAGATGTTGAAGTCTAGATGGATGCTAGGATCAGTGAACTTTCTCTGGAGGCAGTAGGGAGTCATAGCAAGGCTCAAAGCAG